CCTACAGAGAGCATCCTGCAGCAAAACCCCCCCTTCCCCTTTCCCTCCCCTCCCTCCCTCACTCTGTTTTATCTGTCCCCGTTGGGAAACAAGTCAAATTTCGGTTCAAATTCAATTAACGCAATCTCTCTCTGCGTTATGTAGGAGTTTGAGTTCAAGGCTACGTTTGTCGAGAGATGAATTTTGTCGTATATTGATTTGTTGTAGCTCACTCTTCCAAAAGGCATATGGAATTTTATGAGAAATTGGGCCTAAAATTTTTGCAGTTGCTCTGTTTTCTTTTCTCTCTCTCTAAAAAGGTTTTGTCTCTACTTTCCGAATTTCTACTCTCTAAAACCTCCGCTTTTATGGTTTTTGTCAGCATATTAGGTGGATAGGGAATCAGGGGGGGAGGAAGAGTAGCTGGCCCAGAAGAAAGGCTTTTATATATTCCCAAAGGTTACAACAATCCAAACATGCCCTAACAAAGACAAACAATACCCTCAGTTTTGTTTCTTTATGGGTCATGGGAAATTGCAAGAAGGCTCCTAAAGCCATTTTTTTTTTTTCTTTATGTTTTCTAAATCTCCTCTTGTTTTCTCAATGGTAAATAAAAAAAATGAGTACAAAGGATAAATGATTTTATTGAAAAAAATAAACATATGGGTTTTAATTTTATTGAAAAACCCAAATCATATATAAGATAAAATTATAAAATATAAACTAAGATTATTCTCAAAAGTAAAAAAGAATCCAAACATGCTCTAACAAAGACAAGTTAATAGCCTAAAATTTGTTTGGTAGTGGGTAGTGGGAAATTGCTAGAAGAAAGGGTCCAAAAGAATGGATCCAAAACTTGGGTTTTGTTTTTTTTTTTTGCTTTGAAAAGCAATGACCATACAATTGGTTTTTATCTTCTTGATATTAAAGACAAGAATACAAGGAGGTTGAGCAAAGTTCCAAAAGTAGATATTAGTACATTTATCTCTTCTTGTTTGAAAAATGAGAAAATCCCTCTTCCTATTCTTTTCTCCTTTCCTCTATTTATTTGTTTTTCTTCTCGTGTTTGGAGATCGAGACACGTAATTGTAATGCGTACTCGTGTCATATTAATCACGTTATTATATTTTTTTAATTAAATTTATAATATTTCGAACGTACCGCGTTTCTACCAGTCTGTACTGTTAAAGTTTTAAAATTATACGTAAACGATATTTATTTTTAGATGTGATTTTTTCTTACTCGTCAAATAATCAGATCTAGTCAAAACTTAAACCATTTAATTTTAGTTGACAAAAAGCAACTAACTTCTATAATTAATTAATGCCTATAAGTGTGTGTGTGTGTCTATATATATATGTATAATCAAACTAAATACATATTCTCTTTATATTTAAGTTTAAGCAAAATTCCACATAAGGTTTCTTTTATAAGTAATTCCACTCTTTTGAAAAAAGATAAAAAAAAAGACAAAATAAAAATAAAATGTTGAAAACGTGGATACAACAAATAATGCATGGCAGCATTCAATCTTCATTTTCTTTTATTTCACGTGATATCAAATAAATCAACCAAAACACATCCACATGGACTGGCAATATTATTTTCAGAAAAAGAATTTCAATATGACATTTTAATATAGGCATGTAGACATATATATACACGTATACATACATACATACATACATATATATATATACCTTTAAATTCCATGCCACGAAAATGACATAAATTGACACGCAAGGGGTAGAAATCAACCAGACAAAAACAATTTTGGTTTTATAATTTGTAATAATTATAAGGGTTAGTGAATTTAATTTGGACACTCAAGTAAATTTTTACTATATCATAATATCCAAATAAAATAATTTAATTATTACAAAATATTTATAATAATTACAAGATTTTATAATGAAGTACCTCAAACAATAAGAAATTTGTTATTTATTTGTTTCCATTAAGGGTATTTTTAAGTTAATTTTCTTACAAATAAACTAAATTTACATACTTCACCATATTACTAAACATATATTTATGATTTTTCAATTCAGAATAATGTATATGAAAAGACAAACATAGGGTAATTAAAATAATGAAATACATATACTTATCAACCAGAGTAATTATATACTTTCATATATATTTTTTTTTAATCTTAATATAATCTCATTAGAACTTGGGGCATTTGAATTTGAGCCATTAATGACTCAGTATTTTGGTCAAGAATTGTGGGTTTGTCTGAGTTTTTTTTTTTTTTTTTTCTTTCTCCACTTTTCTCTTGTGTTTAAAAGAGAAAAGAAAGAAATGGCATGTTTGGTAAGGGAACAAACAATATTGAATAATGGGTTAGTCTTGACCAGTAAATGACAGATGTGATCACTTTCAAACATTGTCTACTGAGCAATTTGGTGAGAATATAAACAGAGTGGAAAGAAAACAAATTAGGTGAAGTTGGAGAAGTGCTGCCAAACAAGACTTAGAAATGGAGTTACTTACAAGGAGGACTAATTTCCTTCTCAATATTCATTAAGTATATACATTAATCATAACAAAAGTACAAATAATATTTAAAATAAAAATACGAACGATACATACAGAAATATAATTAATTCAAAATTTATAAAAAAAATAATAATATATCAACCGTTCATCATCGAACGTAGTTTATATTTTTTGAGACGAGTATTTTTTTTTTTATTGTAATAGTTTATAAAACCTGATTAAATTAAGGACCGCCTTTGTTAAATTCCAAATTACAAAGGTTGAATTTTGAGGACTTTAATTTATTGGTATGAGAAACAGCAAAAACATTTGGACCCACTTGGATACTTTAGGTTGTCTTTTGAGACTTTGGACTGTCTTCTGAGTTATAAATCTCCAAAGGTACACTTTCACAGGTTTTTGAGAGAGGTGGGATTTTTTTTTTTTTTTTCTTTTTCAAAATTTTGAAGTTAAAAAAAATAGTTTTGAGTGATTTTATTATTATTTTTAATTATTATTTATACCATATTGATTATCAGTTATATGTAATTAACTGATATAATGTCAAAAATTACAAAAGACAAAACATTTAGATGCACTGTAGATAGATATGAAATGGAGCCATCATAATTTTTTTTTTTATTAAATTCAATAAAACACAAGAAGTAAACTATTTGTTAAAATAATTAGATTGCACTTGAGATATATTATACCCACACTTTAAAGCTACATTTGAGATATATTAAATAATTAATTGATAAATTCATATTTATTTTAACTTAAAAATTGTACAAATACTTTGTAAAATGATTTAACAATGACCTCATACTTATCTTCTTTAATGGCAAAATGTAAATTCTCATTTCGAAAAATAAAAATTCAAATCTCGCAACAAATTATATCAAATTGTGCATGAAAACATTAGCACACAAAATTCAAACTAGAAATTAAAAAAAAAAATGGAACCGAAGACAAACAATGGATAGAGGAGTGAGGACAAGATGCTACAATACCAAATCACTTCAGAATCTTCCTCTCCACTGTATGGATCTCTTCTCTCCCTAAAAAAGGGATTGAAATGCAAATATATATATATATATATATATAGAAAGTTAGTAGCTAAAAGGGATTAGGAAAAAAGAAGTCTTCTAGTCGTTTGCCAACTATTTCAGAACTTTTATTTTATTCAAAAACTTAATTGGCATTGATGGAGTGTAAGGTTTTAGGGTTACAAAAACCCTGTATATTTATTATACAAGTCTTGTTTCCACCAAGATCTGAAAAGAAAGGATCGTCTTTCATGCATAAAATAAGGACACATCAGAATTTGGGACAAAAATTCAAGAAGGGTATCTCAATTTTCCATCAGATTTTTCGCAACAAAAGGACAAAATCCCACTCTAAACAAGTGCACAACTGTACAGGCTATTTATTACAGGAATCATAATTTCAGACACAGATCAAATAGAAGGTCCCAGCTGGCAGTTATCAAACAGTAATAATAGTAAGAAACACAATAATATGTAAAGGCAATTGCATTTTTCAAATTAATAGTAACAGCTTTGAAGAAGAAATACAAGAATACAAATAAAAATGAATAGTTCAACTGTTCTTATTACAGTTCAAATTATGATACAAGAATACAACAGAGGTGAAACAATAGTTTGTCCAGAAAGAAAGTCTATGAAAAAACTTTACACTGCTTTTCATTCTCTTTCAGTAGTAGAAAGCAAAAGAAAGGAGAAAGGCACATCAAATCAGATCGAGATCAATGTTCTAAATGTGGCTTCTTCTTTGATTAGCTAATACATCAAGACATAACTACATTGTATTGCATCATCAAAATCGCATAACTAAGACTATGCTTCAATTGTTTTTGTGCCATAAACATTTTTTTTCTTGTGCAGAGTCAGATAAAATAGTAATTGCTCTTTAAAAACACATGTAAGAATGGTTCTTACGGAGTTCCAACATGTAAATTCTCGACCTGCAAGTTACTAGATCCTGGATATGTATGGACAGATGACGCATGCATATAATTCAGCTTCTCACATGTAAAGATATTTTGATGTCATATAAAAAATTATTGACAATAAATGGAAACATATGAACAAAAACATGGTTATCCCTTTAAAATGTCAGACACTACATACTTGCCTCAATCTTCTCACATCTTTGGACCCTACATGGCTCATGGAGCTTAGAACTTTTTTCTTTTTTTTTTTTTTGATAAGACAACTTAAACTACGCCTAAGCTGACGTCAAAAAGAACGATTGCAAGGTTAACCAAAATTCCATAGAGCATGAATTAACGGTGATTACTTCTGTGATGACGTTGAAGAATTAACTCGTGGGCAAGAACACTTGGGAGGATCAGAGCACCATAACTGTGACTTACTATCTACATTGGCAATTACCTGTGAAAAAGAACATAAAAAGCTAGCCACTGCAGATGCTAAATAAACAAAAAGGATTTATTCTCTTTTTTTTTAAATCAAAGGAGTAATTCTTGGCATGATCTGATGGCCAAAGAAAACTGATCCAAACCCAGACAGAAAGCCTAACCTACAAATATGTAGGGTGGGGATGGTGTCAGAGAAAATGCAGAGTGATTAGAAAGGACTCTGAGATGCTGTCGTGCAGAGAAGTTTGGTAATGCACTGAAGTTTTCTCATGCCATCTCCATAATTGTCCTCCTGGAAAGGAACATGTTCTAATACAAATTACTTATAACCGGGCAGGCCACTTAGAGACATCTACAACCAATGAAAAGAATAGCGAAGTCTTGGATGGCCTGTTTACAACTTTATTTACTCAGCATAGGACCAAATTTGAAAGGTGACAATATTAAGAGGCTTTTGCTGTTTGTAGGATGAACCTCCAACAGTTAAAATGGTCATGTCACTTCCATACCAAAAGATGCTCCCTTTTTCTGATGCTTTAATATCAAATCAGAATCAAAGCTTACCTTGTTCCCTGAGCTGTGCAAGAGCTACAGCAACATTAGCACCGACAGCAGCATTATTTTTTACAAGCGCAATGTCTAAACTAGGTTAAGAAAATCAATCTAGAAAGAAAATGTATAACCGAATATAACTAGTAAACCGTAAAAAAGCACAACTCATTTTTCCATTTCAACTTCAGTCAGTCATAATTAATTAGTCTAATCATACTCAGGCAACGTACGCTATGCACGAGCGATATAAAAAACTGCACATATAGTACATAGGATTAAAAAAGTATTAACACTTGAAGGATACTTGAAGCAAGAGACATCCCTCCAGTTAATTCATTTATTCTTCTAAGCAAGAAAGGTGTCTCAGCATTTCCTGTTATGTTTTGGTCCCTGCGAATCCAAGTCCAACCATGCAATAACTATTAAAGATAAGGGTACAACACATTAAGATTTAAAAAATTGTTGGAAAAGGCAAAGTGTTAGGTCTCAAATTGAAACAAAATAAATCCACCTAGCTTCTCCAAGTGCACGCTGGATGGCAGAATCAATTAAGCGTCCAGAAGCCGAGTGCTCTTTTGGAATTGGAACAGCAATCAGAATTCCACTTTGAAGACTAAGTTTCATGCTTGCATCTGCCGACGAACCAGAAAAATAAAAAAAAGAACAATTCATATGGGAAAAATAATCAAGTGATACAAATTTTATGCTTGCCTATTAGTCGAGCACAATCTTCAGGGCTATCTACACGACATGGCACCTACATCATTGTCAAAAACAAAACATTTAGAAGTCACTTTTAAAGTCTTAATATTCAATCATAACTTTGTAGACATCATGAGCAATAGTCTCAAATCTACGTTCTAAATTGTCCTGACATACTAGCTTCTAAGTTTGACCATGCTACTCTACTTTCCAAGAAACAAAATGATCTTCACTCATTCTTTTAAGAGGCCTTATTCAACAATTAACATCCCGCAACAAGATTTTCAACAATCCTCCTGTCTCCAATGGACAAAAAGTGACCTAAAAGAAAAAACACTCTTACAAGACTTGACTCCACCACCATGCGCAGGATTTCTTCTTTTCAATTTTGTTCTTCCAGCATAAACTTCAACGGGAATCTAATAATATAAAAATTTTATCCAGCATTTCTAAAGTACATTTTTTTTAAATATAGCATTTCTAAAGTACATATGTTTGAGAGACCAAAAACAGCTATAAAGTATATTTAAAATATATAAGTATCAAAAAAAGGATAAATGGAATCAAAGTTCCCATCAGCAAAAGTTCCATATCGGACGACTCTTAAATAGCATGTAATAAAGATTATTCAAACACTTCTCATTAGTTTAATATTGCTAGAAGAGAATTAGGCGGCTCCTAGCCACTATGACCATCAAACAAAAACACAACCTTTGCATGAATTTCTCTTTGGCCAAAGAGTCCGTGCAGAATGAAACTATGAGCACTAAACTTCTGCTGAAGATCTCAGCTATCTAAAGGAATCTAAATGACACCATAATGTGCTTATAAACACGTTGACAAATAATACCTTGCACCCACTTGTTTCAGTGAAAAAAGCTGGGAATTCATCAGTATTATAAGCAGCAACACATACTCCTTGAGTTTCCTGGACAATGCAAAAGCTAGTAATATGTATTTTGTAACGTAAAGCTGAGCTTTCTAATGATATTTAAGAGAAGTGTAAAATACCAAGTATTCAAGTGTTCGTTTAATATCTAATATTGATTTTACACCAGCAGAAATTACTGCCACTGGAGTCCTTCCCAAGTCAATAAGATCAGACGATATATCCATTGCTGCAAATAAAATGCCATAAACAAACAACTGAGATGCATCACTTATTCAAAATTCCTTAATTTCCAGAAAATAAATATAGAAAGTTCTCATGTGTTTAACAACAATTTAATAGTATTGCATGCTAGTGATATTGAAAGACCCTAATTATTAAATGCACTGCTGTTTCTCATGGCTCATAAAAAGGTGCTCTTAGAACTTAAAGTGTAGCCGACATTGTCCTAGCTCAAAATGACAAGGCCATTCTCTCTTGTTTGAGCACCAAGAAGATAGATTATAAATTATAATAATACAGAATAGGAAGCTCCTAAAGTGGCCATATTTCGATAATAAGATGAACATAAACGTGTAGGGAAGTTAGTGAAAAGGAATAGGAAGATTTCATTTCCTTTCCCAAATTTTGAAAAGTTTTACAAGAAAGAGAATAGGAAGATTTATTTTCCTATTTCCTAGATTTGTTATTTTCCTAAAGCAGCACGCATGCAAAGATATAGTTTGATATTGAACACTGGAATCTAAACTTAATGAGTTAGAGCTTCATAGTCTTATCTGGATCAAAACATACTATGCTCGCCATGTTTATGTACGCCTCCAATCCCACCGGTAACAAAAACATGGATGCCAACCTACACAAATGTTTAAACTGAGTACAACAAGAAACCATCGTTAAAAAAACAGCATTAAGGATGAGCAGGAACAGAATAATTACCATAGAAGCAAAAAACATGGTTGCAGAAACAGTGGTCGCTCCATTCCCTCTGGTAGCCACCTGGAAGGCAGTGCAAAATTTACTTGTGCAACTGAAGAACCAAGAAATCAAAATGTTGTTCTAAGAACTTATATTTAAGACATTTTTTCCAGAAGTCTCATAGTAAGATAGAGACAAACGTATATTTACACTAATTTGGTTATTTAAAAACAATATTTACACTAATTTGGAATAAAACTAGTAAAGGAATGGCGAGGAAATAAAAGAAGGAAAACAGTGGTTTTAAAGGAAAAGAAAAACTAGAAATTTAAAAAAGAAAGGAAAAGAAATGAAAGTATGGTTAAAATTTGTTGGTTTAACTATATAAAGAAACGAAAATAATTAGCTATAATACCCTTTTATTGATAGAATGATATGCTGAGTAGTTAAAGGTAAAATAAAATTTTTTCCCCTTCAAAGTTGTTAAGTCCTTTCCTAAACACTCATTTTCCCCAAATTTGGAGGAACCAAAAAATTAGAATTTTAAGAGACATGAAGGATGCTCACTGTCCCTCCCTTTACTATCTGTAGATTTTTGTCCAAACAAGTGAAAAGATGGTGAGGGTGTCATCGTTTCTTTCCCTTTCCAATCCACTTCCCCTAATTCTAAGGTAATGACATATGGTGACTTGGTATTCTAACATCATATGACTGAAGTGATTTTCTTCTTTAACAAGTTAAACTGGGATAAGCAGCAGCATAAAGAACAGGCAAGGTTCACATACACAGATAAACACAAAAAATAGACTAAATAGGTCTAATTCTAAAATATGACATTTGTTCAGCAATCTAATTGTAAACCTTAATTTAGAAATGATTTAAGAAGTTTCATGACTGGCTCAGCTGCTGCCCAATGACATACATAGTTAGACCAGACAAACTTATAATGTTGAACATCGCAACAATCAACACTCAGTTTTGTTCACTTCAAGTCAGGAACTATTTATTTCCTAGCATAATGGAGAAACAATACTCCTCTGCACAAAAGCACCCAACCCAAGAAACATGCAAGAACTATCATGATATAAATGCATGAGGTAAAAGTGTTAGAAAATACAATTAATATTCTATGTTCTACTCACCACATGTGCAATGTCCCGCCGAGCTGTCTTCTGAACTCTAGTTCCCAAATTAGCAAGCTTATCCAATTCTTTGTCATTCAAACCTACAAACTTCAACAGCTCTGGAACATTATCAAACGGCTGAAAAGATCTATTTTGTTTATTGATGTGTTTAAGAACATTAAGTTTTAAAGGTCTATAACAAATTCCAAACAAGCTGCAAATATGTGGCCAACCCAGCATAAATACAAAAGATCCTACAAAAGTATTGAGGCCCACAAAATCAGCTCTATGAAAACCTAAAACCACCTTCACGGTACTGAGGCCTATCTAGTATATCAGACGCATACTCAGAGGATCAATAACACAAAAATCAACACAATGCACCATTTTACAATAGCCTCCTAGCATTCCTTTTTCCTTTCATCTTTCTTTTCTCTTTGCTGAAGTGCGAAAAATAATCTTACAAGATCATAAACCAAAGATTAACATGAACTTGGATAACATTATCTTTCTAGTTGATCCACAATATGCATTTATTCAATCACAGTAAACATCATAAAAAAATCTATATGTCTCGAGCAACCCACTGTACCAGAAATTAGGATAGAGTTTATTCACCAAAATTAATCTATTCTACTTTTAACTCTTTTATCAGCTAATCTTTCAAGCAACTTTTTTAAAAGCAATAAGCTAAAATCACAAATTAAACCCTACTTAAGCTTCATTTACTACATATTAGATCTTTCATTGAGAACTAAGGCCTACACATACAATAAAGACAAATATAGGTCACATATAAAAATGCAATTAAATGTAAATGCACAACAAGACTCACAAAAAGAAAGCTAAAATATGAATACCTATGCATGGTGTTCCCTCCAAAATAGCAATGGTTGCTGGAACTGCTCCATTTTCCCTGACAATTGCTTCCACTTCCCTTGCTGTTTCCAAATTTTGAGGGTAAGGCATCCCTGAAATTACATGGAAATCATCAAACAGATAACATACATCCCAACTCAAAAGTAACATAACCGAAATTAAGAGTTCGGTTAAAATCAAAGTCTGCTATAGAATTCTCTATCAAACTTCACAGAATCTGATAATAAACAGCGCAATTAAGAGCTAAAATGGAAATAAACAAACAGAACTTAAAGATATTACCGTGGGAAATGATAGTGGATTCCAGGGCAACGACCGCGCGGCCACTTGACAGAGCATCAGAAACTTCAGATGAGACTTTCACCACATTTTCAATCTAGGTTCACATGAAAAATTCAATCTCTCTTAAGTTTCGTAATATACTACCAAGCAAAAAATTGGAAATCGGTGAAACTGAGTTTTCTTTTTCTTTTTTTGAAGAAAAAAGATAATAACGTTTATCGATTACAACCTTGCTGTTTAGCTGAGAGGGATGAAGATGATTGTGGAGATTGGATAATCTTAGGAGGGCCGAAGACTCCATTTTCTCTTGGCTTCGCGACTCTCTGACTGAACAGGAAGCGTACTGCTATTTTCTTTTTTATTAACGCATAATTATTGGTATTAATAAAGATTATTTAAATTATTACTAGAAAAATATTTATTTAACAATAATTTATTAAATTATTCTCCACAAGTGAATATATATAAAAAAAATATATAAGTTATTTTTACTGAGATTTTTAATATTACTAAAATGTATTTGACTCTAAATTTAATATAATCTTTATCAAGAAAATTCTCTTATTCTTAAAATATATATTTTTAAATATATAAATAATATAGTAAACATCTAGATACACAAAGTGTATTTGAGTGTAAATTCAAATAAAATTTTAAAATATATAACTAAAAATTATATTATTTAGTCAAACATCAATATAAAAATAATACATAAAATTTTTAAATATAAAAAGAAATTAATATTTTTAATTAATTACAATTATATATTATATATTATATAATTAATATTTAAAATTTTAACTCCCTTGTACTACATGATAGATATTTAGTTATATTAAAATTAAACTTTAATTTAAAATTATTAATTAAATAATTATAAATTTTACTAAATAAAAATATTTAACAAAAATTTCAGTGAAATTATAATTAGTTCAACAGGTTATCATTTTAAAAATATTTTTCATAAAAAGTAAAAGAGGATTTTTTAAAAAATAAAAATAAATAAATTGTCTGAAACTTGCTCTTCAGGCCCACGGGCCACGAGTTTGCAGCTGCACCACAAAAAATTTGATAAATTACCAAAAAAAAACAAAAAGGCACGTTTCTGATAGCTCAACTTCTTTTCTTCTCCCGCTCTTTCACATTCCTCCTTAATGGCGTCCTATCTAAATTTCACTCCAATCTCTGAATTCTCCCTCCCGCTCTCAAAAAGCGCCATAACTTCACCAAGAGTCCCTCTTCTCTCTCTTCCTTCACTGACTTCCGCTTCTGGATATTTCTCTTTGAAGAGCTCTGCGAACCGTGGAGGAGGAGGTGGAGGATCATTATCAACAATTATTCATGCTATCAAAGAAGAATTGATCCAATCGCCGAGTTCGGATTCTAGCGTTGATTCTGAAAATGCATCTCCGGCATCCTCTAAGGTCGTCCTCGTCGTTGGCGGCACCGGTGGTGTCGGTAAAAATTCTTCCATTCACCTGCTGCTGTATTTGCTGCTTGTCTGTGTGTTTTAGATGACCAATGGTTCTGTTCTATGTGAAGAATTTATCGTTTTGTACATGTTCTCTTGTCAAATTTTTGCTAGAGTTCGTAATGATATTTCCTTGAGTTGCGTTCCAAATTATGAGACATTTCAGTTTTGATCCTTTTTCGGGATTTTCGCTTGTTGTTTGTGTTCTTGAATTTTGAGAGATGCAAAACGTGTCTTGTGTGAGGAGATTTGTGGTGGTGACAAAACCAGTGGCAGCGAAGAAATTGGAGGAGACCGAGTGACGGACGTTTTACGTTAACTTAGTGTTTGAAATTAATGAAAAGTTGGCAAAGGCTAGTTCGTGGCCACTATAGCGTTCTGAATTAATCCAGAGAAGAAGTGAAAATTCTCAAGAACCAATAAGCTTTATTTTGACTCAATTGGAAACAGAGAGTTCATTACAGTCCTATTATATTGCCATGACCTGAATTAAATTAGAAGTTCCTAAAGCCTCATCCTCGAAATTAAGCCTTCTGGCTCTTTTGCTTGGGCGGCATTTTGAAGTTTTGCGGATCTCAATTTTCTCAGGGAAATTAGTCACTAGCTGCTTCAACAGGAAATCTCTCTTCATGTAGAAAAACCATCACTGCAGCTGCTGCATTATACTTCTAAGCTTTTGCTAATGCAAAAATCTTTAGATGTATACTGTTTCACATTCTGATATCTGTGTTACCTATTTCACATTCTTGTCCATGGTTCTTGAGTTGATAATAAGAATTTTGCATATTACTGTTGTTACACCACTGCAGCAGTAGAACGTGGGGAAGATAGCCATTGCAGCAGACCCAGTCAAGGCAGTTGATCCTATTATCCCATTTTTGATTTCATGCTCTTCTCCATTACGTAGTTGCTTAAGAGTAGAGATTTTTTCAGTTAACTCTTCATGTATTTAAAGTTTCAAACACCAGCAACGAGAGCATCGGATTTGAATTGCAAAAAGCTGTGGTTTATTCTCACCCTAAGAGAATTTCTTCATAAATTTCTATTGGTTTCTGACTGAGACCTATCAACTGTGAATAAAATTATTGAGTTAATGATAAGAATCTTGTGTATTACTGTGAATAACAGTTAGGTGGTTCTCTATTCTAAATCATGGAATCCAATGTTTGATAAATCCATTCAGTTGTTAACTTAAACTATTTTGAACTTGAGGATTTTTTCCAGTGTTGGTCTACTGCTTCCCTGTTAAAACGAAAAAGCAATACTGTCCATTCCCATGGATGGAAAGTAGTGCATCTGGTTTTCAGTTGAAGCTTTTGGAAAGATGATTCTAGCCTTTTAAATCAAATGTAAAATCTTGTCTTAGCAATGTGTTTTTCTTGCTTTTTGATGAGCTAGAAGAACACAAAATCTCACTTAATGAGCGCTTGAATTCTTTTTTACTTCTCTGGAAACCTTCCTACTAAATGAAAAAAGGTTGTCTCAAATATCTTTTGCATTTCATTTTTAGTCAATAAATAAATCAAATTAGTTCATTTCAGGGCAGTTGGTTGTGGCATCACTAATTGATAGGAAAATCAAATCACGGTTGTTACTACGGGATCCTGAGAAAGCAACTACTCTGTTTGGTAAACAAGATGATAACATACTACAGGTGCAGCTTTTTTTCTGTTTTGGATAATCATTTCCTACTGATATTAATGCCCCACTTGCTTACTGTAATTTTATAGTGAATTACTTCTTTTCGCATCACATTTCTCCCTCTTCAGGATGTAAACCTTTATTGTAAAGAGCTTTTAAAACGTGATAGGTTTTTAAAGGGGACACTCGAAACCCAGAGGATCTAGATCCATCTATATTTGAGGTTTGCGTTTCTTTTTCAATCTCAATAGAAATGTTTTCTTTTCTGTTGTATTGGTAAAAGGAAAAAAAATTTCTTAGGATGCCTGATAAGTATTGATTTTCAGATGTATCTGGCGTTGAAAACTTTTGCAGGGTGTCACACATGTGATTTGTTGCTCTGGAACAACAGCCTTTCCCTCAAAGCGCTGGGAGGGGGATAACACACCTGAAAAAGTGGGTATGAACCTTTCCTTCCTGACAATGGATTTACGAGAAAATAAATTATGGTAATTAACTTTCCTCTGGTTTTCAGCTAGCATCTAGTCACTAAACCTGTGTATCACATATAATTCATTGTCTTAATAAATAAAAGAACAGTCTCCCATCCAAGATGGGGTTCATAAGTTTGTGCACTTGATCACAGATCTTGTTGTATGCCATATATGTTAATCACTGGATTGTCCCTTTTGAAGATTGGGAGGGTGTGCGAAATCTTGTTTCTGCACTGCCTCCATCATTGAAGAGAATAGTTCTTGTTTCATCGGTTGGTGTAACCAAGTTTAACGAAATACCTTGGAGGTATGACTTGTAACCTCTCTCTCTCTCTCTCCCCATCACTCCCTTCCCATTTTCCCAGATTGAATTTGAATCCAAGATTGGACATGAGATATGCTCTAAAAGGGAAGATGTGATTGCTGGGCTAAGCCTGTCATCACGAACCTAACATTATTAGATGTAATTCTTTAGATGTTGAAGTTACTAATGTGATAACAAAGTTAGCATTTACTATTTCCCTTTATTTTTTTATTATTTAAATTAAATAAAATTATCTCAAATTTTTTTCTTTTGAAGAAATTCCAGAAATTATCCCTCTATAAGCGATTCAATGTTTTATTTTAACATAGTAGGCAGGGTTGTTTCTCTTATCTTTTAATAAAATTTTCGGCCTGTGAAATCTAACAGTGATTGACTCACAAGTACATGTGAGCACCATAATACTTGTTCTTCAATCAAGCAAGTAGAAAATTTTCTTTTTGTCATACTCAATGTTTGAGTATCATATTTCTTATTATTTCTGCAGCATTATGAACCTATTTGGTGTTCTCAAGTATAAGAAGAAGGGGGAGGATTTTCTTCGAAATTCTGGTCTTCCATTTACCATTATCAGGTCATTGGCTAATAGTAACACCTCTATTTTTTCTGAAATTGGGAACATAGTACTTGTTTTTGAGGCAAGATGCATGCCATCATTTACTCTTCAATTTATGCCTTATAGAATGTGTTGCATGTATCAGAGCTGGTAGATTGACAGATGGACCTTACACGTCTTATGATCTGAATACTTTGCTCAAAGCCACTGCTGGGAAAAGGCGAGCAGTTGTTATTGGTCAAGGTAGGATGTCATTTAGTTTCTTTTTTTTTTCTCATGAATATATATATTAATATCTTCTTTCTTTTCTGCTGTTTGTGATTATGTTCCCAGGAGATAAACTAGTTGGAGAAGTTAGCAGACTTGTGGTTGCCGAAGCTTGCATACAAGCATTAGACATAGAATTTACCAATGGCAAAATTTACGAGATCAACTCAATTGAGGTAATATTTCAGTTAGAGAGTCTCTGGCCTGGACTTGATATACTTCCGTATATATTTTGTTCATCATTATTAATTCCTTCTGTATCTTTTATGTGCATAAAGTCATTCATGGTTTGTTCACTTTGTGACAATCCATATTCAGGAGGCTATTCTCATGCCACTTGACACTGGTGATTTAAAACAATATTTGCATATAAACATCCAAGAAAATGGAATATAGAAGGATATAAATTGCATATACATATATAATATAATCTATGCAGAGATATATATATATATATATATCTCTAAAACAAAGTACTGAACAAGATTTACCAAAGAACATGCAGAGACCTGGTACTGAAAATTGCTTCAACCAATTTGCATGAGTTTCATTAGGTATTTTTATTCTGCATGTTTGCAACTTCTGGAATTTAGTTAAGAGTTCAACCACCTTACCTTCTACATTACATTATTCTGGGAAACTTGTTCCATTTTACAGGGAGAAGGTCCGGGAAGTGATCTACAGTTGTGGCGGGAGTTATTCAGAGCTGCCGAAGTCTGATTACTTGATTTGCTTGTGGAAATTTTTGGCCGCTATTGATTTAACAAGTCGCTGTACATTAGTTTTGTGTATATGTATGTAGTCAGATTCACTACTGTGAGCTCCATATCAAGATCAAATAAAAATATCAAAATTGGATCTTAAACTTCATATAATGTAACACTCCGTTTTTTTTTCTAACGGTATACGATAAAGCACTCATACAACACAATATCGAAATTCCATATTATTCCAACCATGCACAAGAGAAACTTGTCCGCCTTCATTATTCCAAATCAATTGTACATACATCTCTACCTCTACAGCACATAGTAACACAATATCAAACATTCCTAGATGTTCAATATCCAGACTAAACCATCCTTTCAAACTACTTTAAATCACAAACAAAACTTGTGCCCTATGGCACTACCGACGGGGCTCCGTTACCAGCCGCTCAGATCCCAATTCCGTTCTTACTCCACATGTGAATGATGAGAAGTGAGTTCACATAACTCAATACGATAAAAATCAAGTTGTAAGTGCAATATGCAGTGACAAGAATTTCCAGAAATGTCTATATGCATTTATCCTACCCGACCCAAACACAACTCATAACCCCCTTCCTACACCAATCATCAAGGTCATATTCCAAGGAAATAGCACGGCCAAGCAACCACACCCACCCAACAATCATCCATTAACTCCCGTCACCAACATCGGCGACTCATACGCTCTTCCCCCATCTCCCGACCTCATGAGGCCACACACACACACACAACCACCTTCATTCCACGTCACCAATATCGGCGACTCATATCCATATCTCCACCTCTCGACCTAATAGGCCACGCACACACACAAACACCATTATTCCGCGTCACCAACATCGGCGACTCATACTCACTCCTCCACCTCTCGACCTAAAGAGGCCACACACACACACGAATACCATCATCTCACGTCACCAACATCGGAGACTAATATTCACTCCTCCAACTCTCGACCTCGTTGGGCCATGCACACACACAAACATTTCCACCTCCCGTCACCACCACCTGTGACTCATACACCCTCCTACCCCTCTCGACCTTGCTAGGCCACACCCACACACATATCCCCTCTCCGCGCCACCAACATCGGCAGCTCAAACCGCCCCCACCAACGGCCTCCAAATCTCTCATCCCAAACCGCACGCTCCCATCTCCCCTTATACCATGCTAATCCTAAGCGCTCTAACTTACTAAATCCTATTGACCACATTACTCCTCTTCTCTCATCCAATCCCCCTGAAATCCTGTTTCCTAGTCCTCTCTGCCGTATATTCCAGCCCCCTTCCCTCTCCTATCGCCCCCTACCCGCCACCTCCCGTTTCCTATACACTTTTGCCTACCTAGGGCGATTAACCTCTCAGCTTGCACCGTCTCCCGCCACACACACGCCCTCACCACCGTACATTTCGGGGAAACACGTCGCCGCCTATTAGTGGCTCCCTCCACATCCCCACCGACGCACACACCTCTTCTGTCCTCTCGAGTTTTTATCCCACCCGCGCCCCTTAGATTGTCCTCTCACATCCTCCTCACTCTGTTCTACCCGTACCACCCCCATCCTTCCCCACGGCTCCCCACACGCCTCCACACCGCAACACCTTCAATTCCTCCCCCGGTCACCTCCGTGAGCGCGCGGGATAACCCCACGCTTACGGCCTACCTTCACTGCTCCACTCCATCGCGCCATTGCCGACGCCGCAACCTGCAACAAAAACTCACTACACACACACACCACACCAAACAACTCAAATTTTCACCGTACCTCCCGTTTCCATCTTCCTTCTTTCTGCCGGTCGCGTCGTCCGTCCACGGCCTCCTTCCCTCTCCCTTCTCGCTCCCCTCCGCCCCGACTCTCTCCTCTCTCCTTCTGGAACTTTCCTTCCCTTCTTCTTCTCTGCTCCCTTCTTTCCTTCCTTTTATCTCTTTTTTCTCTTTTTTTTCCTTTTTCTTCTCCCTTTCCCGACCTCCCTTTATACCCTACTAGCCTACCCAAAACGACGTCGTTTTCCTTCATCCCAAAACGACGTCGTTTTTTTTTCTTTCAAAACGACGTCGTTTCCTACCTATTAGAAATTTATTTATTTATTTATTTTTATTTTTATTATTATTATTTTTTGTTTCTAGTCCTTACATACACTCCCCCCCTACAAAGAAAATTTGGTCCCTCAAATTTTGTTACCTTACCTCCAAACAATTCCGGATAATTTCGTCTCATTTCGTCTTCCCGTTCCCAGGTTGCCTCTTCCTTGGCATGATGTCTCCACTGTATCTTCACCATAGGTATCACTCTGCTCCTCAACTTCCTTTCTTGTCGTTCGAGAACTTGGATTGGCTCCTCCTCATAAGACAAGTCCTTCTCCAGAGGATAGCAAAATCCATGGCCGCCTCCGTAATTTTATTTATATTAGTTTTAGCAATTTCCTTTCCTTTTAGAGAAAAAAAAAAACCGAAGATATATTTATTTTGAGTGTATTTTCATAAAGTTACTAAAATTAATATAAAAAAAATAGAAATATTATTGATTTAATACTATATTTCAATAAATAAATAAAAATCATATAAATTATATTACTCCCGATAAGCTATTAATAGAAAATCAAAAAAATAATTTTAATTTTATTCCTTATAAATTATTTAGAGCAATTAAGAAAATTTTGAGGAGAGATTTTCTTCTTTAGTGTATTTTCATGAAGTTGCTAAAACTAATATAAATAAAATAGAATAATTATTTATTTAATACTATATTTCAATAAAAAAAATTATTTTATAAATTATATTATTCCCGATGAGCTACTAATAGAAATATAATACCATAAAACGAAATTTCAAGAGATAATAATTAATCGTTGCCTTCAAAATTAATTATCTCTCTCGTTATTTGAATTTAAAATAATAATAATAATAATACGTAAATATTGCATCAGCATGGGTAACGACAAACGCAGCCAATCTCTCCTTTTTTCCCCACAGGGTAGCAGAATCCATGGCCACCTCCATATTTTTGCTTGCAGGCGCTATCGCATTGCGTTTCTTGGCAGCTTCCCTCTGCATAAACGACGTCGCAGTTGTTCATAGGAACATTCTTAAAGCCTTGTTCATTCCTTGCATTCACTGTGCAAAACTAATCACGTTAATTTTTCTCCACTGATTTCATTATATTATATATATATATATATAAAATTAAACCAATATGAGATATAATCAGAAATTTAAAAAAATAAATTTGAATCGATAAAAACAAATAGTAGTTAAAAGAATTAGAGAAGTACCTAGTGCGAGAAAGAGAAGGAATGCAAAAACTAAACCCTTGTTCATGGTTCTCTGTCTTTTTTTTTTTTGAAATAAAATTACTTTGTGAAGATATATTTATAGGGGAATTTGTGAATGGCTTGTTGTGAGTCTAATAAGTCAAAAAAATGTATTTGATTTTTTTAATAAATAATTTACCAATTTTAACATGATGGTGTTTCCTACAATTGAGATTGAATTGATTTGCTTCTTGATTTATTGATAGATAAATAATTAAATTTCGGAGAAAATAAAGGAAATTGATTTTAGGGAATAATTTTTTCTTAATTTCAGACATTTAAAATACATTAAATCCATTTAAAATAATTATTTTATTTATGTTAAAAAAATAAATTTTAGAACAGTTTATAAGTTCAATAACCAAACTGTTGTAGGAAATGTATTAAATTATAGATTAGCTTGTAATTTATTAACGAGTAAAGTAGTAGATTATCGTTATTATTATTATTATTATTATTATTATTATTATTATTGTTAATCGTGTTTTATCAATCTTCTTATTTAAATAAAATTTCAAAACCAAACTCTGCAGTCAAGAGGAAAATCCAGCATTTCATCTAAATGGGTTGAATCTAACACCAATTTTAAGTTAAAAAAACCAATGAAATAATTTAAAAAAAAAAGAAAAAAAAATTAATACAAACACACGTGTGTGTGTATATATATATATATATATTTCATGGGTTCGTAAGTATATCGTATAGTTTTAATTTATATTGTTATATATAATTAGTAAAATCAGACAATTAATTATTTTTTTCAAATGATGTGTTCGATTATCTTCCATATTAATTAAAAGCAATTTGAACCTTATAACTTTGATCAGAAATAATTAATTAGATATTTCTTATTTAATTTGGTCGAATATAGTTAGTTTATTTAAAGCATTTTGAACCTTATAACTTTAATCAGAAATAATTAATTAAATATTTCTCGTTAAATTCGGTCAAATATAGTTAATTTATTTAAAATATTATTTTCATTTAATAAATTATTTATAAGTGCGTATCCTTCAAATCCCTTCACATTTGATTTTTTTTTTTTTAAAAAATAAGTTAACAATAATAGCTTATGGGAATAATATACTTTATAAAATGAAATTTTTATTGAAATATATCATCATATCTGATTTTCTTTTAAAAAAAAGTTAATAATATTTATATTTTTCAGAAAAAAGAGTTTTAACACTAATTTTAAATTTTTTGAGATATTTTTAAGTATGTGAAGCGTGTTTCAATATCCGCAACGACGGTGGCCAGCTTCTCTTATGGTCGCCCTTCTTCTTCTCCTCCTTTGAACTAGTTGCGGCTTTGTTTATGATTTTGGTGGAAAAATGGGTTTAAATACTCATATTCTCTCGATCCAAGCTATCCGTTTGGGTCCCCGTAGCTTGATTTCCACCGTCGGATCTAGCTTATCAGAACCGTCCAATTGAAGGCACGTGGACCGTTCGATTGCGCCTGATGAAAAAACAGATCTGGATTGTTCGTACGCGCAGGAGTGGATCCGTGCTGTCAGATCAATTGGCACGCGGATTGCTCACGTGGACTCCCGCGTAGAACACGTATTCGCGTGTCTGCCATGCGGTGTACGACGATTGGCTGTGTCGCTGACGTGACCATTTTTTTTTTTTTTCCACTTTAGCCCAAGTTTTCAAATTTTCATTTCAAATGTATTCTTGTTTATTTTCAATTTCACCTCTCTTTTAAAATCATTTTCAAATATATCTAAAATATAATTTTTTTCAAAAAAAATTTAAAATAATTAAAATTAAAAACTTACAAAATTATTATCACGAGCCTCAATCCCGGAGTGTTACAATTGTAATTAAACAAATGCATTGAATTACAAATTAACTTATAATTTATTGACTAATTTAATAATTAATTATAATAATTATTATTAATTATGTTTTATCAATCAGATAGATAAAATAAAATTTCAAAAACAACTCTGCAGTGGAGGAAAATCCAGCATCTCATTTAATGGGTGAATCGAACACCAAATTCATGTAAAAAAACTAATAAAAGATGGAGAAAACGATACATATATATATATATATATATACACACACACACGCATTTCATGGTTTCTTGATTTCCCTTGTATATATGGTTATGAAGTGAGTATATCGATATATATAAATAATAAAATTAGACAGTAATTTTTTTTTCTCTTCGTCGTCAACCCTGCTACGATTCGTTTAATATGCTTGGTTCTGTGCATGTGGGTGTGTGTATATACATGTATATATTACATATATATTATGCTTGGTTGTGTGTGTGTATATACATGTATATATATAATCAGAAAAATTACCATTGAAATTTTTGTTTTGAGTTGCAGAAAATAAGACTGCGATGAGTTTTGGGCCGGCGAAGTGCACTACGGCGGAGGGTTGTAATGAGAATGAATGTGACAGACGATGCAAACAGACGTATGGAGAAGCAGATGGTTATGGATTTTGCCTTCGGGTAGATAATCCGCCAGACAAAATCTGTACTTGTCGTTATAATTGTTCCTAATTTCTTGTAAATCGAATGATGTCATGTTTACGTTTTAAATAAAAATTACGATAAATTATTATATTAATTTCCAAAGTTACACATATACTTTACAATTTTATTTTAGATGTTTTTTTTTTTAAACGTATAATTTATTTATATTTTATAACCGAAAAAAACTAAAATAATTATGTCACGAATGTTTTTAAAAATAATATTTTTGACTAATTGTTTGAATTAATATATTAGTAATAATTTATTATTATTAATTTAACTAATTAATTAAAATAAAGTCGTTGAATTATCTTTTTAAAATATTTAAATATAACAAATTTAACTTTTTTTAATTAAAAAATAAATAAAAATATTAGAAATTAAATTGCATCAAAATATTAGGAATCAAATTGTAATAAATTTAAATAGTAATGTAAGTTATAAGATTTTTGCAATAAACATATATATATTTTTTAATTATTTATATGCCTGAACTGAATTGGGTACAATCCCGGGTTTAAAAAGCCCGACCCAGCTAAAATGGGTTGGGCCCGACTCTCTGAGAAGAAAAACGAGCGGAAATGGGAAAGCCACGGATAGCATAGGCCACTCTTCTGGGGCAGAGAGGCAGACAGCGAGTGCCACAATTCTTCCATGGCCGTCTCACTTGCTCAGACCACTCTCTTCTCCAAAACCTCATATTTCCTCCGAGGAAATGCTCTTAAATGCTTCACCTTTTCCGTACCTTTCTCTTCATCTTCTGCTTCAGTTCTCCGTACAGGCAAGAAGGCGAGGCAACCCATTGTCTCTGTTCTAGAGCTCGGTGGAGTCAAGATCGCAAAAGACGGTAGAGATTTCCTACTGTCAAGAATTTGAGCTCAATTTCTGTTTGTACTGTTTTCGATTTTAGTACGCGGGTTGTTTGAACTGAACTTTTGATGTTGTTCTTTATCTGAACTGTTGTAATCACTTGATGCAATTGGCAAAAATAGGCCTGCGTTTGTTTTTGTTATCGGTTTGGAAGAAGTGTCTTTATTTTATTCATCGATAACGCTTTCTAGGAACTTGGTTGGGTGCAACTCAAGCATTTTAACTGAGAGTAATTTCTGAAATGTTTTTTTTTAACGTCATGTTGTAACTTATTTTGGTTCTTAGAAATCCGAAAACGTGGTTTTTGTTGAGTTCGCATAAGAATTTAACAAAGTGAGGATGCCTTCTTTAATGTCAACTTTATGATGAAGAAAGAATTTTTTTTGTATCATGTGATTTAACCATTCTGGCTGATTGGTGAAATTGTTATGTGGATTTATTCTTTTTCGTTTTTGAGATGTTTATGCAGTTTGACAATTTGGATTTTGGGGTTTATAGATGTTGTGAGGGATGACCCAACAAACAATGTCCCGGATACAATATTCTCCAAACTCGGAATGCAACTTCATAGAAGGAATCAACATCCAATTGGGATTCTTAAAAACGCAATCTACGAATATTTCGATACTAATTACTCGAACAAGTTTGATAAGTTTGATGATCTGTGCCCAATTGTTTCTGTACAGCAGGTACATACTGCAGCTTATATGCTTAAAAAATTTGTTACATTGGACAATATTTAACTATTCCTTTTCGTCTGCTACTTATTCTCGCATATATTTAATCTGATATGCTGTTTATGTTTGCATTCACATACAAAGACCACTTCGTCTTTGCATTTTTGTTTGTGTTTTGCAGTTTCCATTTGCTATAGTTAGTGTCATACATTTTGATTCTCTCGTGATTATTACATTTTACACATTAATGTGTAGAAAATTTAAGCAGGTTTCTTATATTTCTTTCTCTAGAGGTGACCCCTTCTTTTTGGGAAAGCTTTAATTCTAAAAGTTCCACAAGTAAGCAATATATATAAACCCTTCCCCCATTTTTATTGATTATTGATACGTTTTAGATGTCTTGATATCATTTTTACTTCTTTTTCACTTCTTTTTTGATTCACCATCATGCCTGTCACATATAACCATATCTCATGCCCATGATCAACTTTGATTTCTCTAACTTGAAGTATGAGGCCTTAGAAATTGTGTGATACTTATTCAGAGTCTGGATTTTGATTGAGCTACTTAAAATTTGTCCTAATCTTGTTTTATTCTATTTAAAAAAGAAACATCCTTTAGCATGGGTTTTTGTTCTTTGGTGTGCTTTTTCCTACTTTTCGGGTTTGTCCTCACCTAAGTGAATGCAGCTTTTATTTATCCAACTGATGGATCCACATCATTGTCTTCTAAACTATTTGTTATAGTAGATGAATCTCAAGATTCTGATGAAATTATTATCATAAATAAGAATACATGTGCACCTTCTTGACTTCTTTACTTCTTTGCAGAATTTTGATGATGTCTTGGTTCCTGCTGATCATGTATCCAGGAGTTACAATGACACATACTACATTGATCCTCAAATTGTTTTGAGGTGCCATACAAGTGCCCATCAAGCAGAACTGTTAAGAAGAGGACACACTCATTTCCTTGTAACAGGAGATGTTTATCGCAGAGATTCTATTGATTCAACACATTACCCTGTATTCCATCAGGTGTTTTTCCTTGTCTTCTTTCCAGTTGCTTAGTTGCCTCCTGGTATATACATATATGTATATTTCGTTCTCTGATATTTTTTGGAATTTCATATTCCTAATATCTTTATTTTGTCACATTATAGATGGAAGGTGTGCGTGTATTTTCTCCAGATGAGTGGGAGGCATCTGGCATGGATGCCACATCTTATGCTGCAGAAGATTTAAAGAAATGTCTTGAGGGATTGGCGCGTCACTTGTTTGGTATACTTGAAATCTTTGTTTGGCAACTGAAATGCTTAAATTAACTGCTGCCACTTTGAGCATGCTGGAAATTTTGGCATATCCATTTGTCAGGAATTACTAGGTATATTTAATGCAGGAACATAGATGAATAAATTTTAACTGAGGGAGAAGTTCTATTCAAAAGAAAATAGCACTATGCTGTGAAATCACAGTGAAGCATTTTCTCATAAAAAATGTAATGAAGTTTTAAATTTTTTAATATTCTGCATTGTTTAAATATCTTGAAGGAAATTTGACTTGGTAGCAGCTTTATAACGTTTATAATTCTTACAAAGTGATCTTGTTAAGCAAAAGATGTTAATGACTTCAGGTGCTGTTGAGATGCGCTGGATTGATACATATTTCCCATTTACTAATCCATCTTATGAGCTTGAGATATATTTTAAGGTATTCTCTGATTTTCTTTTAGTGCCTTTTAAGACTCACTTGAGGAAAGAAAATACAAATATCGAAGAAAAGGATGAAGTTAGGCCACATATAAGTGTATTCTTAGAATGTTTCTGATTTTACAAACCAGCAAAAAGAAGTGTTCTTTCTTTTTTTTTTTTTTTTTTGTCTTTTTTTTTGTCAATTTGTTAACTATAATTGTACCTTTTAGAATTTTGTAAATTTTTGGTCAAAAGAATTGAGAATTGAGCATCTTGAAGCAAAGCTAGGATATTAAGTTTAAAAATACCGAGAAAATAAAAGAAGAGAAAATTGTTTATCTTCATGGTTTCACTATTTGGGAACTTTTAGCACATGTATATCACCGACCATTTTCCAACTAACTGCCAGGAAAAATGGTTGGAGGTTTTGGGCTGTGGGGTGACTGAGCAAGATATATTGAGGAAAAATGGGAAGCTGAATAATGTTGCTTGGGCATTTGGACTAGGATTGGAGCGCCTAGCGATGGTCCTATTTGACATACCGGATATTCGACTTTTTTGGTCAAGCGACGAGCGTTTTACCTCCCAGGTAAATCTTGGTGCATCTCACGATATTGCTTTGTTGTCCCTTTCATGTATTTCATGTTTATATACATTTTAATAGGAAATAGAAAACTCTTTGATGCTGAAAGTCGATATTGATTTAAGATATCTCAATGCAGTTTTCCAAGGGCCAACTGGGTGTCAAATTCAAGCCATTCTCGAAGGTGATAATCATCTAGATCTTATATTCTTATATTTTTCAAGTTGCAGCTCTATATTACAGTTTTCAAAATTATTAGTGATGTTTCAGCGATTCTTTTTTTAAGTTCAGCTAGTTTGTGCTTTAAATGTTTTGACTTTTTGAGATCTGGTTATTGCTAAACATGTTCTTATGCTGGCAAAGGCAGTATATTTTAACACAAGAACTGAATTGTTCATAACAGTATCCTCCTTGTTACAAGGACATGAGTTTCTGGATCAATGAGTCATTCACCGAAAATAATTTATGTGAAATTGTCAGAGGTGTTGCTGGGGATCTTGTTGAGGAGGTATGAATTACTCTCCCTTTACTTGGATGTTTTGCTCAAGATGTGAAACTTTTCATACAGCAGATTGATTCATAATCTGCACCTCTACTAAGAATGCAGAACTTTATTTGGAGCTTTGAATTAAGGTTTCATTTATAATTTTTCCAAACATCAGGTCGTGCTGATTGACAATTTTACCAATAAGAAAGGGATGACAAGTCACTGTTATAGGATTGCATATCGGTCAATGGAACGCTCGCTTACTGATGAGGAAATTAATGACCTGCAGGTACTCCGTATTTTGAGTTCTTTTATTTTCTGTTCCTCGTGCACCTGATTTTGTGTTTGTATGAGCTAAGAACGATTCAATTATCTTCAAATTCAATTGCAGTGGAATGTGAGAGAGCAAGTGCAAAGCAAGTTAAAGGTTGTCCTAAGATGAGAGAGCCTCGGGGTCCGGCAATGCGGATCGGGTAACAAAAAAAAAAACCATGTAAATTTTTTGAAGTTAGAGGTGTCAGATTTTCTAATTTAAACAACACAGGCTGCATTTTTTATGTTGAATGTATTATGAAAAGGAAAGATACCTAGCTTAAGGGGCATTCTCCAAAACAATAAGATCTTCTGGACATAAACGATTGACTTCAAGATTACTAGTTTTTTTTTTTTTAAATTTCTTTTTAGGATGGACACTTATAAAAATAATACATTCACTATGAAACTTCCCACCTTCCCTTCCTCTTGTTCATGTTTATTTTGGGCTTCTCAAATATATGTTAGTGAGGAAGGAGAAGAAAAAAAGGGGGAGATACCTGTTTGATTTGGTATTGTTTTTCTTCTCCTGTTTGAATGATTAAATAAAATAGAAGAGAAATTACTTACACTTGTAATTTTTTTTTTTTTTTTACTTTACCAATTTAAAGGGGATAATTTAGCTCTGTGTAATTAAAAAAATTATTTTCTTTGCCCTTTGTCTCATCCCTTTATATCAGCCTCTTTCCAAACTTGCCCTAAAATACATCCAGTTTCAAGCAATTACAATCCTTTTATTGCAAAATGTGGATGATTTTTTTTTTTTTTTTTTTTAAATCAGAACATTAGCATGTTCATCCAATGAATGTCTTTCATGATAAAATACTTAGAGCTCATATCCAGTTTTCAATCTAATTGGATCAGATGACACTGTACCTGTAACCTATTGAACTCATTTCCTGTGATAGCCTCGAACCAAAAAGCTTTTGACTGCATGAATTCCCTTTTCACCCATCAGAAATATGAGCTTTTGGAAGATCACTTGCATTTACCCATCACATACTCCGGCTAGCTCAGTTCATTGCCCTGTGTCCAATAGTCAATCTTTTGGGACCTTTCAAGTTAGGCATTGAATGTCATGCAGCCGGCAAAAAACCTTATATTTCCTTCAATATCATCAGGCAAAACAAATTTAACTTGCTGAGCAACATGTAAATGCGTTTAGCATCCAGAGAACATTTAATTTGCAGAAGGAAGATTGTGTTCAGAAGGCAAGAGAGATATTCAAGAGCCAGAGAAATTCAGTGAAGTTATTCACTCTAAGCATTACACCAAAAAGCATGAACTCCTAACAGAGTAGTTCATCTCGGTACAATCTTCTGGTTAGCATCATTGTAGCAGGATATAATGATTTGTATGATTTTTCTTTTTGAAAGAAGATTTGTATAATATTATAAGAGGCAAAATTCCAAACATTTAAAAATCTAAAGGTATTTTTGGTTCAATTCTCATTACATTTCTTGTTACTTCTCACCTCTGATGTTCATCTTAAGACAATTTATATATACATATCAAATTTTCAAGTTTCAGCTACCGCCACTTCTTAGAACTCCTTGATGTTAGTAATTAGTGGGAAGGAAATGAGAACCACCAAATGGGACCTAAAGGTACTAGAAATACTGCTTTACAACACGCCTCTTTGAGAAAGTTTAACAGGTAAGCATGGTGTACAAAGGTCAAGAAAATATGGAAAACCGCAAAAAGAGAGTGAAAATGGAAAAAATATAAAAAAGGAGAAGGAAGGGAAGGGGAGGACAGAAAATGTAAGCAATCTAAAATTACTTCTAAAAGTTGTCACCAATAAATTCTCCTCTTGTATCCCACGGACGAGTTTCAAATGACCTTCCAATCATACTGCGCTTCTCATTTACAGTCCCATCTCCACGGTGATACTCTGGGAAGTAATCCAGGAAAGTTTTGCTTCCCAATTCATTAATCCCATTGAAGAGGAAGTTCCTCATCAAGTCCTATATAATTGCATGTGATGAAAGAAACTTAATGTAGCTATCTGAAAGAAGAGTAACTAGAACCAAGTTGTGATAGATACCTTTGCAGTATTCTCACCAATCAACCTTTTCAGAATTCCGTGACCAGGATCCTGCTCAACCAAACACGTAAACTATATATCTTATTTGATCAAGTTTGGGAAAATATGGCAGCATTTAGTTACATAAATTTTAAACATGCATGTGGTTTTAAGGGATGCAATTTATGCAGCACCCTTGCCTGAAAAAAAGTTTTAAAATAGGCATCCATACTCCTCCATTTTGGGCCCTTACAAACTGGCTAGTTATGCTGAATCGTAAAATTTCTAACATTTAGAAATATGAATTAAATATAAATTTCACTAAATGTACTGGAACTCCTATAAATAATTGATGCCATATCAAGCTTGAAGAACTATCAGAAAAGATCTCCCAATATGGACTGCCTAGCATTGGATACTTCTGTCAGTATTTTCTTTCCAAACAGTAGTTTTGTATTCCATTGTACATACATCTCACATTTTTCTCCAGTAATCCAGTTCAGGATAAAATATGCTTATCCTATTTTCTGACACCAAGTTGTCATGAATGCCAAATTGTGTTCCGAGAGCATATGCTAATATGTTTCCAGTATTATTAGACAGGAAACCAAATATTCCCTTTTAATATTGAATATATCTTCATATTAGCAGATTGTAGATGCTTTTGTGCAAAAAAGCACTATAAGAAATTGGAATAAGCTAATAGACATAGGTACCATTTATATGGGCTAAATCTATGCAAGTTCTTTAACTGTTTATTGTCGTAATTTGGGCAGAATTTCTGCAGCTTTTGACTGTTTACAGCTAGAGTTGCTTTTAACTATAGCATGATTTGTTTCTTATGGCAAAAAAATTAAGATTTGTTAGTTTAGAAGTAAAAGTCATAGTGTTTGAGTTGGTGCTTCAGCAAAAACCCAATTTATAAGTCCAACCAAATGAGCCATAAAAGGTTCTATAAACAAATATACATCACCTTTTCAGCTCTCCATGTTAGATATCTGTGCTGCGCTTCCCGATTGCAAATAACCTGAGATGCATCTACTGCTTCTACTGCTTGGTCCATCAACTTGAGCCATGCCTAGAAGAGCAATAGAAAATTCCAAAACAAGCACAATTTGACATGCTTCAACCATTTGCTTGAGTTAAGAGCTAACCAAAAAAATGTTGATATGCAGTTTTGCCGAGATTGTATCAAAGAATTGTAAGTCGGGTGGAAAAGTTAACTAATAACATGTACCCAATAGTGCACAGCAGGATAAGAGCTAAATAGCTTACCTGATAGTATTCCATGAATGCAGAGAACAAAACTTCATGATTGAATTGGCTTGAAGAAAACTTGGTCCATATCACCGTTGGTGAAAAAAATTTTATAGACTCAGCTGTAAGCTTTCCACCCCAAGGTAAAAGCTGCATGAAATCTGTTTTCAGTCACGATACTATAATGTTTAGGAAGAATTAGTGAATAATATGGATATATTATGAATAAGCAAATTACTAAAATCAATGAAATATTTCAGGAGCAAGCCTTTCACTTACCTCAATATACTTGAGACATAAAGGCATTAAGTCATTATAGTACTTCTCCTTATAATCTCTGTGCCTCATTACATCATGCAAAGGGTTTAGGTCCCTGAAAAAGCATCACACAAGGTAAGTTCCAATTCTTGAATGTTTCATTTGTTTCTCATAAACACATTAACTTAGGTGTACAGGTATTCAATAATCAAAGAGAGCTTAATGATATTAGGTGCAAAATATTAATATTATGCAAAGGAAACACAAGTTCAGATAAAACCAGATAATTGCAACTCATTGTGTGTATATGAAAGTTGATGTGAGCTAAATTTCTCAACATAAGCATATAGTAAAAAATTTGAAAAAAGTTCTCATAATATTTAAATGCGTAATGATGACTGGACAAGAAAGCATTGAGGATTAAGATGAAAAGCAGAGGAAAAATAATCAAAATCTGGAAAGAGTTGAAGTTGCCACTCACAGTAGAGGTGTTGGCAAGGGACTAATATAAGGTTCACAAGAAGCACAGTCCACAGAAGAGAGGTGCACAAGGGGCTATATAAGGTTCACGAGAAGCATGGTCCTCTCTATTGCTAACCACGACTAGGAACCTGAGGACTCTGAACTTTGTGGTAAAGCTAAACTAGAGGGCACTAAATGGGTGAAAGCCAATGCTAAATGAAGAGGGCGATTCCCCAAATCCATAATTATAAAACATACATGCATAATCATACATGAAAAAACATGCACATAAAACTACAAGAGCTAATGAAACATATGAATACAAAATTGAAGGTGAAAAACCCTTTCTCAACACCTCAGAATCAGCTTGTTACTGAGTTTAGAAGAGTGTTGACAAAAATATCATGCGGGAAGCTCATTTAAGAATAAAAAGACCTTACAATTCAGCAAACCATTGGTGAAAGACAAAAAGGAATAAAACTTACAACACAACAATGTTCTTGTCGGCAGAGGTAAAAAAGTTAGCACAGAATATAGGCACATCAAATTCCAGTTCTGGAAAGGCAGCAAAATCCAAAACCTGCATGGAATATCATAGTAGTTTTATTTAAAGGTTATAGCAGAATATTCAGTGCCTAAGTGATGCAGAAGAAGATGATCTTAATATGGAAAAGATTTTCTAGCATAGAAATTTTTTGCAACTGTTATTATTGTCTCGTACTTTTAATCTTTTTAGATTTATTTAAACATTAAAATATTTTAGTTTCTTTTTAAATAGATTTTAAATGCTACAAAAATTAGAATCTTTCAAATTTCCTCTTTTATAATTTTTTTTACTAGTTATAACTAATCTAGACGCAGAGGGCAATAGCTACCAACAGATAAAATAGATAATGATGAATTAAGAATTTCTTTGCTAGAGTTTTATTGTCTGCTATTTCTCTGTGTTTGTTCTTCTAACCTATTCTGTTTATTCTACTCCTCCTTATAATTTCTTCACCTTGATTTATAATCTCCTCTAACCTATCCTCTCTTTGGTTTCCCACATTAATTTTCTCTATTTTTAAACCATCCGTGGGACAAGTTAGTTTCCTCATCACGCGTCCTGCATCACTCAGTTTCATCCTTTATATAGACACAGAGCAGGACAAGGAGAACTTGAAGCATAACATCTATAATTTTTACATCTTCCTTTCTTTCAGCCATTAGTTCCTGAACTTCTCTTCTATCTTTTTTGGGCAACATTTTAAGGCAAAGCAAACCGAGTGGAGGATGCAAGGAAAAAATTTGCACTTCTAACTAAGGATTAGACTCATGGGGTCAAAGAATAACCAATTCCTTGATCCATAAGCCATATGAAAAATGCACCCAGTAAAGAATTAGCGTACAGCAAAAGATACCTAATAAAATTTTCTAAATAATCTTCAAAGAAGTCTATATAATCATCAGTTATGGAAGATCATTACTCAGTTGATGATTTGGAGAAACGAGCTTAAGTTCACACCAGGACGAACTAAGTAATAAGCATCATGATCACCTTGTGGTAAAATGAAGTTTTGCTTTTTTTTCCCCTTAATCTTACTTTACTTTGAATTACGAATGCAGTATATTGAAGGAGATCAGTTTTCTGATCCATTTTTAAAATTACATGTTTGAAAAGAATTTTTTTAGTTCAACAGTGAGGTTCTAAAAATTAGTTGTAGTTCCCACTATAATCCTTTTTCTTTCCATTTTTCTTCACTTACCAAAATCCTTAAGGAGTTTAACAACTTCGAATACATAAGTAGTAAGTCCATCAGAAACGTTACCTGCATGGATTCATTCTGAATGCTCATACTTCGCAAGAGTCTAATCTTTGGAGCAACATATGATAGCATTTGAAGCTCAGTTTTCCCATCCATTGCATTCATACAACCAAATCTTTCCTGTTCAGCCAAACAATTTGCTTTTTCATGAATAGCAGGAATATTAAAGACCATAGATTGGCATCAGCATGCACCTACTTCTAGTTCATTACATAGAGGTAATTTTTTTTTGAGGTAATTCTTTTACATGGAGGTAATAATGGTCCCAAATAAACCAATTAAAATTAATCACCACAACTAAGGAAAAAGAAACTACTAAGAGGAAGGCTTATTTGAAGTTCCCATGTGAACACAATAAAACAATCAAAAGCACCTGAATTAATAACATACATTTTTAAAAAAAATAAAAAGTATATATGTATAATATCCGGTCCCGAAATTTGATCTGAAATTAATTTTAAAAATTAAAATTAATATATAAAAATATAAATTTTAAATTTATAAATTTCTATTTAATGTAAAATTATGAAAAAATAGGTAAATGATGAAATTGAAAACAATTTTGAAAAAAATGGGTAAAATTTTGGGTTTATAGGGTACTTTTGAAATAAAAATAAAAAACTGGGGGTCAAAACGCAATTTAGGAAAAATGTGCCACATAGGACTGCCAAGTCAACAGCCCCAACGAACCAAAACGAGTCGCGTGCCAAGATACACTGACTCGGTGCCACGCTGGTAATTGATGTGCCCGCGATCGGATGGTCCGGATTTATTCCCGTGCACATGGACGGTCCGGATCCGTTCTCTCCTCAGGCGCGATTGAACGGTCGCAATTAAACACGATGAACGACTCAGATTCGTTCCCTATTTAAACGCGATCATACTGTCTATACCAAATCGCGATGAACGGTTCAGATTCATTTTCTCTTTAAACGCGATCGAACGGTCGAGATCAAACGCGATGAATGAACCAGATTTAAGGAAGACGGGTATAAATATCTCACTTCACACCGAATCCTAACCCTAGCCGTCAGCCCCCCATCAGAGAAGAAGATCCAGTCGTCAGAGAAAGGAGCCGACCATCGGCCCCCGCCGCGTCGGAGCCACTTCCAACCACCAAAAAAGATAAAAATTATCTTATTCGCTTGAAATTTGATTTTAAACACCCCCATAGCCAAATTGGAAAAAAAACAACAAATGAGCCAGAAACTGCGGGTAAAGCCGGACGGCACCGCCACGGGAAAAACCAAAAATCACCTCCGATGAGCCTCTTCCCATTTTCCGTTTCGTGCGATTTTTCTACCATTGTGTTTACCATTCTGTTTTATAAAGATTGACCGAAGAAAAACGTCCAACCGCAAAGGTAAGCTGGCAGAGCCGCTGCACCGGAAAATCCCGCTGCCGTTAAGTTTTTATTTTTCGATTTTTTTTCAGTTAATCGAGATCCCCTAACGTGTTTCCTCGTAAGAATGAGTATAAAATCGGCTAAAACTGCCAAAAAAGGCCAATTCGAGGTAAACCGCCGCCGTGGGCAGCTGTGTCGTCGCCGGAGCATGGTGGTGCCACCGTGCCAGAATTCCAAAATTGGCTGAAAAGAATTTTAACACCAATTTTGGATTTTTTAGGGTTTATGCACGTGAAGCGTATTTCAATCTCCACAGAAAAATTTAAGAAACTCGAGAACCAACAGTAGGCACAACTGAAAGTTTAGTGTTTCAAACACCGATTCGGTTAAAAATCCCTCATCTTATTACCTGTTATGGAATTGAAGTCTAATTATAAATAAAACGGTATTTTGCATAATTTAAAAATTTTCGATAATTAATTACAGATTGCTAATGGAGCCGGAACCGGTTATTTATTACTGTTTGTCATGTTTTAACTGATTGTTTGATTTTACAGTTTTAAATGAATAATAATACACTGGAATTGGTAAAACGATTCAGTTGTGTTTTTTTTTATGCATGTATTCCTTGTCTTGTGTGATTTACAGTTAAATTATAAAACTGAAAACTTAATGTAAATAGAAATTGCTTGATTAAGTGAATGAATGAATGGTAAACTTACTGGATATCTTGGGAGATGGTGAACGAACCGGATACATAAAGAACCCTACCGTGAACGTCACCTCATACCGAACGGGATATCGAGAATTGGTATTTTGGCACTCATACCGAACAGGGTATAGGGACGACACGTTTCACTCTCATACCAGATGGGGTATTGAGGGATGGTATTTTTGGCGCTCATACTAGACAGGGTATGAGAACGGCCAATTAGTTGATAATATTAAATAAGGTTCACGCGTAGTGGGGGACATTTCTATGAACCCTCATGGATACCAGTAGGCAGATAAAAAGGCAAAATATTATTTTTACTTACTTGAATATGAGATTATGATATTGTTGAGCTATTGTCCCTATAGGTCGGTTTTGGAAATCTCGTTATGGTAAGTATGCAATAAATAATTTTATTTATGATAAATGAATTTACTTAAATTAAGAGTTCCATTAGTTGTTTTTATGATTTTTACCAATATTCGTTTCTGTATCGGTGAGTAATGTGATATTCAGGGCTAATGTACCTAACTCTTTCATTAACCATTTCATATTAAAAAGACCAAAATCCAAATCTCGATCAACAAGAGGGTTGTAAATAGTTCACCATCCGTATTCCCTTCAAATGCTAGTGAATGTCGTTTTAGGATACTTAATTATTTAATTTTTATTTATTTCTTAATTTTTTACTTGTTCTTTTAGAATGGTCATTTCCGTAGTCCTATTGAGTATTTTAAATTATTATGTAAGGAATGTAAACTCCAATTCTATTATTTTGCTTCCGCATTCAATTTATAATTTATTTTCTTTTAAAATTCCGAGTCGTTACAGTTGGTATCAGAGCGTGTTTCTCGGAACTATTCCTTATACAAAACCTTAGAAAACACCCAAAAAATGACTTATCACTCAACCATTCCTTGTGAAATGCAGGTACAGGTAGATGAGAAGAGAAAGACCCCCACTAAACCCTAGCAACTCGAAAGGGTTCGCTTCGGGAGGATGTTGACCGACTATTTGAAATGCTGGAGAGACTTATCGCTGTCTAGCAGGCCCGAGAGGAAAGAAGGGAGCTACCTGACCCTCTCCCGCTACCACAAGTTGAGCCATCCCTACAGTGGAAGGATTCTGAGCCACCCCGGTACGACCATGCTTCTCCACAGTACCATCCGGCACCACCACAATATGGTCTGGTGCCCCAATCGCATCACCCGGCACCACCATAGTATAGTTCGATGCCCCAACCGCATCACCTAGTACCACCACAGTACAATCTGGTGCCCCAACCGTATTATCCAGTACCACCACAGGGTCATCTGATCCATCCCCAACACAATCCAGTTCCCCTTCCACGAGACCCAGTTCCTCCCATTATGGACCCAGGCTACATTGAGAGGCATAAAAGACTAAATTCATCTACTTTTGCAGGGGTATCCTCCTTTGAAGAGATCGAGTACTGGTTAGCTGAGACAGAAAAAACTTTCACAACTCTTGGGGTGATTCCCGAACAAAGAGTCATACCTGCCACCTACATGCTAGTGGGAGAGGCAGGCCGCTGGTGGCAACTCAAGCAGGTCACCCTGCCCTTTTCAATCACTTAGGAACAGCTCTTGATGGTCTTCAATGCAGAGTACCTCCTAGAGCATTTCCGAGATATGAAGGAAATGGAGTTTGCACACTTAATCCAGGATAATATGACTGTATCAGAATATGTCCGAAGGTCCTTAGAGTTGGGCTGATATTCCCCTGAGAGCATGATAGATGAAGGCAGAAAGGCAAGAAAGTTTGAGTGGGGCCTCCGTCCTGAGATTGGACAACAGCTATATGTGTTCGAGCTCAGTACTTACTCAGCCGTTCTGGCCAAGGCACAGCTAGTAGAGAGGAACCTTCGCATTTTTCCTCAAACAGTAGGGAACCTCAGACCCTCGGTTTCACACCGCAGACCAGCACCTACTGCACCTGTTCAGCACAATAAGAGACCTACACCAATAACTCAGGCTCCTCCTCAGATTCCGACAACAGGACGCGGTAAGACTTGCCAGCACTGTGGTAAGGATCATGGAGACCGACTCTGCTATCGCCTCAATAATACTTATCGCATATGTAGGAGTGTCCAGCATTACGTGAGGGAGTGCCCGAGAAATCAGAACCAGGCTAGACCTCCTATTCAAGGCAGGGTTTACAACCTCACTCAGTAAGATGTAAAAGCCAACCCATACATGATACAGGATACGTACACTATCTATAATCATTTTGCATATATTTTGATTGATACTGGTGTCTCACATTCATTTGTTTCACATGATTTTACACAAAACTTAAATATATTACCTAAAAGACTTGATTCTGTGTTATTTGTATCTACTCTTGGGAGTAGGACACTACTGATGGAGGTTATATACAGAACCTGTATAATAAATATAGTAGATAGGAAATTGAGTGTGGAGTTGATAGAGATTGACACGGGGGAATTTGATGTAATCTTATAAATGAACTAACTAGCGGTGTATCACGCCACCGTAGATTGTTTTCATAAAAAACTTGTATTCAACCCTCTTAATGAAGAATCATTTACAAATAATAAAATTCCTTAAATATTATTCCCTCATGACAATTTTTCTATTACTAAGTGCTTTAACTCAACTATTTTCTTTAACTAGGCAAACTAAAGAAAGAAATTTATATTCGAGAGATTTCAGTAATCTGAGACTTCCCGAATGTGTTTCCGGATGAACTACCCGAATTGCTAGTGAACAGAGAAGTTGAATTCACCATAAATCTTCAATCAGGCACCCAATCTATTTCAGTTGCCTCTTACCGCATGAGTCGTGTTGAGATAGAGGAGCTGAGAAAACAGATCAATGAATTGCAGGATAGTGGATTCATCCGACATAGTGTGTTCTCTTGGGGTGCTGGAGTCACATTTGCATGGAAGGGAGATGAGACGTTAAGGTTATGTATTAACTACAGATGACTGAACAGAGTCATGATCAAGAAAGTATCCCCTCCTCAGGATCGATAACCTTTTTAATCAGTTGCAGAGTGCCCAAATCTTCTCCAAAATAG